AATGTACGACAGGTATCTTGCACTTATCTGGCTTCTCTGTACCTGAAACAGTCCAACATCGTTTTATGATTCTAACACAGAGGAAACTCACCTTTTCTCGAACTACACATACAGTAGGGGTGATTGGGTTCACACTTTCAGCTGTTTGTGTTTTTTTAAGTCGGACAACTCGAGTCTTAATTCAGTAGCATCACTTGCCGTAATAATAATTTCAAACCATGTTAGGTCGTTTGAATTAATTACACTAGCCTATATAAAGTTAAATTGATCTTAAGCAGAGATCACCCATGTGTTATTAGGAAGAGCTGCAGCTCCAACAGGAACATTGAAACATTATGGAGCATCGTGTGAGCATTGTGGCATCATGATTCACGCCGTCATCTACAGGCTGTTCTCAGAGATCCAATCGAACAACCTTGATTGTAGAGCAGCTGCTTGCTGCGTCTGGCAGGAACACGACTTTGAGGGATCTGTAACTGGGAAGAAAATTGTTCTTCATCTTGATGTACTGAGAATGAAACTGAACTGGAAAATCAGTTTATACAGGGAGAAACTGCAGGTGAGCGCTAGATTAGTGTTTGGAGAAAAACTACAAACTGGTATTTCTGCTGCGTTAACACCATTGTTTGTTTTGACTTGACTGAAGGGAGATCTTCAACTCTTTGTAGTGAAATATATGACACTCCAGCAAGGGTGAAAGTAGGATAAGGTTCTTGCAGGTACTGTACCTGTAGGCTTTGTACAAGAGGAGCACACCCAAGTTTAACGAGGTGCTGACTCTGATGCCACAGTACTTCCCCCCAGTTCAGCCACTGCCACAGTGGCTAGAAGTGCTGGGCTCCTTATAGCTGTGAAACGTCATCGCCTGTCTGTTTATTCTTCTGTTTTAGATTTTAGCGCTTGCCTTTTCCGAATAAAAGGCAAGTGCTAAAATATCTTCCGTAGATAAAGCCATCTTGTTTCCACCTCCGATTTTGCTTCTTTCCGACTTGGTTACTGAAACGCTGGGAACTCAGATGTGACGTCATTTTTAGCTCCGACATCTGACTTACGAGATCAGAATTGTGATAATGTTCTGTAATTTTCTGTTCGATGTACAGAGCTGACAGTTCACGCTCGGTTTGAGCATGTGATGGTGTTTCCAGCTTTTCTAGCCAATCAGAGGCAAAGGAGGCGGGACCTTCCCCTACCATCCCGAGAAAAAAAAAAATACTCCGAGGTACGAGGTATTGCTGTATACTGGCTTACTTTCATCCCTGCACTCCAGTCTCTAAAACTAAACACAGACGACCAACCAATTCCACATAGTCTTAAAATCAACCACAGGCTGCTTTTGCACTCTGCAACTTCCCCCTGCAAGAAAAACTTTAAATATTTGGAGAACCTTATTCCTAATATTTAGACACGAATGCTCAACCATTTTATAGATGCCCCACAAAACCAGAGGAGAAAGCATGGCATGACAGGATGTTATGTCCTCCCTCACCACAAATCCAGGACATTTATATAATTAGGTTTTGACACATTTGGTTATATAAGAAATTTAAGGAGCTGATTTCAGTCCATTGTTGTTGTCGCTGTTCCTGTTTGTGATTCATCAAATTCAGGCTGTTGACCAACCCAACACCACTGTGTCCTGTATAATCACATTTATCTAAGCTATAAGACTTTAATCTCCACAGAAACACCATCTCAGGGATCTTTGTTATTTTTTTGTTTGGACTATCAATTGGCTAAAAAAATATTTGGGTACGTTTCCCACGCTTCCTGTAATCCCAGTGGTGTTGTCAGCAGCTTTGAAGGAGGACAAATTCATATTTGAGAGAGAGTTTATCACTATGTAAACAGCTCTGAGGAGATCAGAGGCATGTTTTTGCAGAATCAGGGAGCTAATCTGGCTCAGAGCGCACAGGGTAGCCGGCCTACCTTCTTAGCAAATGAAGAGCCGCTCGCAAACTTGATGCCAATGTTTGCTAACGCAGAGGATTAGCCTCCACTGTTTGCTTGCACTTTGTGGTTGTTGATGTGTAAACCTATCATTACTGGACCCAAACGTATCCTTTATTTTGGCTTGACTCCCAGATGGGATCCAAGCTTTAAAGGTATTTTATGATCTGATGATTAAATGTGGTTCAAACTGCCTCAGTAAAAAAAGATGACCCCTGTGTGATTAACAACACTTCGACATCCACTTCACACCAAAGAGCTTATAGACAGAGTGCTTTCATTGGCAGGGATTTAAAGAGTATTCCCTTTCATTACAGAAATGATATGATTATGGTAATTGCAGTGGTTCTCTGTACATTTCAGCCCCTGATGAGCCATTCATGTCTTTCAGTGATATTATCTTCAGTTTAATGGCAAGACTGGGCAGATGTCCACATGTTGCTGCTCACAATACACCTCCATCAATTAAGGGTTAGTGCTTCACCTTGATGTTTTCAAGGTGAGTCCACATCCCAAACAATAGAGGACTAACAATGGAGGTTCTGTGTGGGGCAACCGTTCTGAAATGTACTTTTTTATTATCAATGTCAATATCAACTTAACTGAAGTTTATACACTAAATTTAAGGGAAGGGCAAGAAATTCACAGGACTTTATTTAATTCAAGTGTGTTGAAACTTTGAAACTAGGATGACAAGTTTAAAAATCTGAAATGACAATATTGATGGTTTGGTTATAGAAAGATGAGTTGGAGAATTTAAACTTCATGAATTTTGACTCTATAAATGTTCATGTTTCTCCTTGAATCACTGATTTTAAGAATAATCTGCTCAGTGGCTGAACTGGGGGGAAGCTGTATGTAAACTACACGATAAAAAGGTTTGTAATAGTTATAACATTTGAGTCTTTATACACGTACACTTGTGTTATTGTCCTTTTCACACAGCTGCGAAATAAAAGCAACTATGAAAAAAAAGGCAGAAATTATATATTTATCTTAAACTATATTTAATACATTTTTTTTGTTTGAAAAAAAAAAAAAAAAAAAAACACCAACTCTATTATTATGGGATGTCCCAAATTCGAAATTAATATCAGATATTGGTCCAATAGCAGCAAAAAAATGAATTTCGGATTATATCAACCAGCTTCTAAAGTCTTTAATAAAAGCACCCCGATACAAGCAGTCCATTCCAGACTCTGCTCCAGCACTTCTATCTAGCAGCACCTGGATCCAGCGTGCAGAACCTACATAAACACAACAACGATGTGTACTAACGCACTAACCAAGTAGCAAGCAGTAGAAGTGATGTCGGCCGTGTGGCAGCATTTTTCGTTCAAGTCCGAAAAAGACCTTGCAGCTGAGTGCAAAACTTGTCATGCACAATTTTGTGCTAATATCGTACTAAAATTTGGTATCAGCCAATACTGGAGGCTACAATATTGGTATCCTATTGGAAAGTAAAAAAGTTGTATTGGGACACCCCAGGTATTATTTGTCATTAATTTCTGGAAGGTTAGGCGTGTCCTTCGGTTATGTGCGCACATGTGCAAACAAATACCTCACATGAGTGACGGAAATGAGAAAAAGTTAATGTGCTTGAAAATGCCGTTCAGAGAAGCTAATCATTATCTAAACTCTGTTATACGAGTAAAGCAAACTTGACCACAATCATTTAAAATGGCTGCTCATTTCTGGACTGACTATGTTTAGACCGAGACCTGTACTGGCCTTGTTGCCAAAAATATTCATGGTCTGTGAGTGTTCGCCTTCTAACCTCCTTGAGACGGTCATTCAAGGTCATTCAGGGGAAATGAGAGCCAGTTGAGAAGAAAGGTGACTGATTTATACTTTTGTACGGGGTGCAGAGGGACTTTACTCATGTAGTGCTGAAAGGTGATTTGAGAGGACGTGTTTCCACTAGAATCGCATGCATGTGTATCAGATAAATAGTGAAGTGCATTAAGTTTAGTATAAAGGGTTAGGTTGGAAGTATGTATATGTTTTTTTGGATTTCTGCAATGGTGAAAAAATGACAATACAACCCCTCATGAGCTTGACATAGTTTACAGGATAGCTGAGGCCTCAAGTTTAATGCCTGATGAAAAGTTTCCATGTCAAACAGAGGACAGTCGAGGCAAATCCCCGGTGGAAACTCCACAAATTATTTTATTCACCTTTAGTTAATACATCTCTATTGTAAATGAACCATTCAAAATAGGGCTCTTAACTCTATTCATCCATCATTGTGACTTTGATAAGCACACCGTTCATCAGTGAAAGCAACTCATAAAAAGCTCTGAGTCAAAATATCCAACAATGGACTGCTTTTAACAGAGTGCAGGTCAGATCATTAGCCTGTATTGATGTCCCCCTAAAGACATTACCCTTCATAAGTGATAGCCCTGTCCATTAGTGATAGTGCATAAAATAAGCTGCCTGACTGCTGATGAGAGTGGCTCGCTCAATGGCCAAATACCTCGAGGACCCTTCAACTGAGGACAATAAACGTGGAGGGAGGAGAAGTTAAAGAGGAAGCGTCATCCATTTATGTCTCCTTAACACCTTAAAAATCAGTAAAATGATTCACAGACAACATGACCTGTCAATTTTAAGTGTCGGAGATATCCTTTTTGGGGAATTCAGGGTCTTTAAGATTTGCATCACCCTGATCACGGCCTGTTCTAGTGACTGCCTTTGCCGTTATTGTAATTTTCTCTCAAGGCAAGAGCTGAGAGAAGAGGAGCTTTTTCTCTAAAGTAATACAGACTGTTAATTCAGATTCTGTGTTATTGTTTAATAACCTTTTATGTGATCCTTTCAGCTGATGAAACAGAGAGACATAAGAAATTCTAGCAGATGATAGAGAAAAAAGAAGATAACAGAAGCAGGTGATGAAGGGTTTGGCTATAACAAAAGCTCAAAATGTGTGCCATTAATATATATAATTGGCTAGAATTAGTCCAGCTTCCTATTCACTCTTATGCCTACGCCTTACATCGGCATAAGCGGCAGGCTTATCTTGTTGATTGTTCGATCAATACAAGTTTGAGAAGAGAGATCGCTCAAGTCCTGGCGGTGAAATCAGTCAGCTGGAATTACAAACGTGAACAGAGCTGAGAGTCTGCGGGCCTATGATGGGAGCGCCGAAGAGTAAATGTACATCGTCTCTGACAAAGATAGTTGAAGAGAAGTACAGATCAACCACACACAAGACTGACTGCTGGTTAATAGAGTTAACTTTGAGTGCAAGGCTGTATGGACTGCAAATGTCCTGATCGCTCTCTTGTTGTGGTCTATTATGTCATGGGGCTGTAGTGCAGCTGTAATATTTGATATTACTATCACATGGAAACTTTTAAAAGGCATCTGCTTGGATATTATTTGATGTAGTTTAAAATGACAACAAAGAGGGATGAGTGGTTCGGGTTGTCCCCAAACTGTAATTAATACAAGTGAAACTCTCAATCAGCAGTTATTATTATTACTTGTCGTCTGCTTGTCTTTAACCTTTCATAATTTTGGGTTTTGAGTGATTTCAAGGACTTTCTGTTTAGGTAAAGCATTTTGTGCTCCATCTCAGTGTATTAAAAGTGCTGTACTAATAAAATCTGATTGATTGATTGAAACAATTGAATGATATCAACAGTGTTCAGTTATATACAGTCTAAAGTTAAAGCCAGTAGACCCACACATGAGTGGGTGACCAGGAAAATGCCAGCCCAATACTGACCATGGTTCTCTATCCTTCTTAACCCTGGTTTATGCTTCTATGTTGGACCTACGCCATAGTCCCACAGCCTACATGATAGGCCTGCATGATGTAGCCATAGGTGTTGCTCTGTACCCTTTGCAGAGGCCCATGTGCTTGATGTAGGGCTGTAAAGTCCTAGTCGACTGGTTGACTTATTGTTCGATACGTGCTGAGTCGACCAAAATTCTGATGGGTCGACTCAATTTTTTTCTGCGTCAATTTACAGTCTATGGTCAATTTCATCAGGAGGAACGTACCAATTGCTAATGCTGGTGTTTTCAGAGCACCCCCGTTTCACAAGTAACAGCCTGTCTCAGAAAACGCCCCTTGTTTTCATCATTTTGGTTTCGCCCAACCCACTGGAGACCAGCTAGAGACAGGAAGATTGAAGAGCATCCAAGTCAATCAATGGTTGAAAATTTCAGGGTTTTAGTCGACCAAGAATTTCTTTGGTTAATTACAGCCTTCGCTTGATGCTAACTCAAAAGCCCAACTACATGTTAAAACAAATTGAACTGCAAGCCCAACACTGAATCTGCTTTGGAATAACATTTCCAGTATCACCTCCATCCTCTACCTCCTTATTGACCATCTCCTCTGATGTCTCCCCTTGTTGTTCTATAAAATAATGAAAGCACGATCAACTGCAGCACAATATTTATCTACATTCAACACAAACAAGGAGGGAACATAGCAGGACTTCAAACTGGTGATACGACAAGCATCGACATCGCACCGCTAACCAGCGAACTATATGGTGGACTATTGCAGAGTGACGCAGACAAAATGAGAACATCACAGCAGGTGACGCAGTACTTGTTCAATCTCAATGATGTTGTTTTCATGATCATGGCTGTGCAAAATCACAAAAGAAATTGAAAGTAATATAAAAAAGGGGAATTTGTAAAAACACTGCACTGCTTCTTTCATCCCATATGCCACCGTTGGCATACAGTATTGCCTCTATTAGTGAAAGACACGATGTACCCCACTTTCACTTTAAAACTATACAGCAGACCCATGAAATAAAAAGAGACAGAGTTGTGTGAAATGTATCAGGAAGCTAAATGCTGCTTTTCCCGGACAGTCTCAGTGTTAATATACTTTTTTTCCTTTTCTCGTTACTGCGGATCAAAGCTGCCATTGTGTTCAGTAAACGACCTCAGAGGGAGAGGCGATCCTGTTTACATTTGGGGTGAGGGAAAAGAGAGCGCTGTTACAAAGAAAAGTTAAGAGTCACATTCCAGGTTTAAGGCACTGCTTCCTGTTTCCTTGCTTATATAGCCGAGTGTGTTTCCTACACTATAGGTTCCTATTCCTGAATCATACTGCAGTCTGATCACATAGACTTTCCAGCACAGCACTTTGACGTCCTCTGTTGTTGATTACCCTTCAGAAAAAATTGGACAGGGTACAACTTTTAAATTACACTTCTATACTGCTCAAAAGTGTGCCACGCTGTAGCATCACTTTAGAGGGAATCTACCGTATTACTTTGGTGTCAAGGGAGGAGCTCTACGGCCATTTGGTGGACCAAAACAAACTCATCAGAAATGTCATTTCAAACCACAGGAGAAAGTTCACTCTCAAGGCTCCAGAGCTTGGTTAAACTGAACTTATCTACGTTGAATACATTCAGGTAGAGTGCTTTAAGCTAAATAACAAAACCTGACAATGTAACTGACAGATTTTTGCAGCAAGGGGAAGTATCAGTTGTTTTATGATGGGGAGTACTTCCCATTGCTGTCAGTCATGCTGTCACCACATTGTCAGTGTGAGGAACATTATCATGCTCTTAAAAATGTAACAGTCTGATTACTAAATCTACTTAAGTGTTCAGGTTTATCTGCAGCACTAACATCAGCATGCTAATAGAAAAGCAGTTTTTCCTCCTACCTCTTGATTTTCTGATGCTTTTTGAATGATGTCTTTCTCGTAATATCTGTCCAGGACTGTTTGTAATACCACACCCTCTATCTCTGCTCTATCTGCAGCTTAGTATCACTTACGCTCACTGCTGAGTCATTTCCTTCCATGAAAGCTATTGTCTCCAAGATACCCCCACTTCCTGTCTTAAGTAGAATAATAAATAATAACACTGTCAAGGAAAGTGCCTCTGTTCTGTTCTCTGCTTCTTGTGAATCTTTGGAGATGATAATGCCATATTTGTTAAGCTTACTCCTGTGCAATAACCTTGTTATACCTTTTATCATGACGTTTTGGCAGCTCTTGGAGTTGTTAAAGGGATATTCTGGCATAAATTTAAGTTATTGTCAGACGCCCCCTCAAGAGATGAATGTTACCGACTGCTTGCTTCTCTAGTTATACCAACTTCAGCAGTGACTGCATGATAGCAATATGCAGTGGTCTCCGTCTCCATGCACAAACCTCAACCAAAGTGCTACTCTATAGTCATAAATAATGCTCAGAACAGCACCTAACTTCATCAACAGTACATATAGGGTCCCCGCCATAGTACTAGCCACCCTAATTTCTTTAGCAAAGAGACTAAACACAACTCACCCACTCTCCACTAGCAACCACTTGTTTTTGTGGGGGTAGCCCTGACGAATCGATCACTGAGTGCAGCGGATCATTTCCTTGAAGTAATAATCATCATAATAATCATTTTGCACTGCAGATGCGGTAGTTCTTCTGCCTCAGCGTCTAGGTCTGATTGCATTTCCATGAAGTAATAATCATAAATGTTCTTCCTTGAGCTGTGAAACTGCGCTGCACTCTGTGATTGACTCGTCAGGGCTCCCCCACAAACAAGCGGCTGCTGGAGGAGGGTGGGTGAGTTCTGTTTGTTTTTCTTTATTTTTTATCTACCTTTGTGAGATGGTTTACTGGGTTCAAATGGTGTCAGATTTGTATTCAATGGACTGACAAATAGATTGGATTGAAAGTTTTGAGCTTTTCTTAATTTCTGTTTCTATTTCAGTGTTTTGTCTTTTGATAAGTAACTCACATTAAATCAGACAAAAAAGAGAAACAAACAAACTTTTCTGCACTAATTAGGAGCTGGGCACACATCTTTTAATCTGTTTATCAGCATCACTGTTGCTTTATTTCAATATGGACATTTATTCAAAAATTGATCATTGAAATAATAAAGTGTGGTACAAACATAATAAAACTACAGGCTGTTTCCTTATGACTCATTATTTTTACTTGATTGTCACTCTCTACAAGTTTAAATGAGACCAGCAAAGTTTTCATAGTGAAATGTCAATATTTCCTGAAGATTATTTGACTCTTTATAGTTTATACTCTTTTATTTGTTGTTTGAGCATGTCAGGAGGATGCAGGGAAGGTGTGCATTTAGTGTACGTGACTGTGGTCACAGAGTCGCTCTTCAGGGATGGAGGGAGGACGAAAGGAGGCCGTTTTCACTGTCATACTTGTTCAGTATTCCTCTCTTCTCTTTTCTCCAGCGCCTCTGACTTTGTTCGTTTTCTCCCAGCTGCCCACAGGAGGCCTCCTGACAGAAATGAAGGGATTTCTATGCTAGTGGAGTTTTCTGTCGTCAATCCTGTTTGCCATGCTTCAGTCCCTGACTGTCTCTTTCTCCCTCCCTCTATCTCTCTTCTATCCATCCATCCATCCCTCTGTCCACCTGTTCACATCCATCTCTCCTTCTTTGCTGTGCAGGTCAGTGGATTGATTGCATAGAGCTCATGGAGAAAGGCAGCCTCTGGGGACAGACATTGAAGCACCTAGCCGCCAGGCCCTCTATTGTAATGAAATGCTACAGCCTGTGCAATTACCCCTGCACACACAAAGCCCCCCATACATATTAGCACACATACAAACAGACACACATATATGTGTGCACTCTGAAGCTAACTCAAGGGCAGATCTGGGCCCATAATTACCAGTTCTGGGTGGAGTCCTGCTGGAATTAAACAACTGAACTTGCCACCTTGTTTGCCGCCTCAATGCAACATTTTGTCGGTAAATTTAGTCTATATGATGAATTTAAGTCCTTTATATGTGCATGTAATTATTGCATGTTATTGGCACACTGGTAATGTTTACAAAGGCGAACAGATGCTCCGACAAAGCCGCGGCTCAAAGAAACTGGGAAACCAGAGAGAGAACCTAATGCCTTACATGCAGCTATCTGAGAGGAAATCAATATGAAGGAACGATCCCTGCTGGAGATGATGGGTTGTGGGTTGAGCTAATTTGTGTTGTGTGTGAAGGATAATATGTGTGCAGCATGTGGGTGTGTCCATGTCCATCTTATCTTATCTTACATGGCATGAAACTGTTATGTTGGAGAGAGTCTAATTTATGCACCTTCCATTCTTTCGAGTGTAAACATAGGCTTGGCATCCTTACACTAGGTTTTTGCAACCGTTGACACTGTTCGCCTCAAGTGGAAGCCTAGAGTGAGAGGAGTAGACCCATCCAATATGGTGGCAATGCTGGATTACGCTCCAGCACTTAATGAGGCGTCTACATATTATGTCTATGCATGCAAACGTATTTGCAGCATAGCAGGTGATGCTGACATAACGCGCCAAACACGCATCCTGTGTGTTTTAGGCTTGAGTCAAAATATTTCCCTGCTCAGTGGAGCCGTTTGAACCACGGTTCACTCACAGAGCTGCAGATTTCCCCTGTGGAGGGAATTCACTGGGCTGGAATATGCTTGTGTGTTCGTGCATACGCTCACTCTGCTCACTTGTGTAGCACATGCCTCTGCTGCCTTGATTGGATGGCAGACAGATGAGCTGTTTATTTTCGGGGTGGATTTTTCCCTCTTTTCTTTTCTTTTCTTTTGTGCTCCCTCTCCAGCCTGTCATGCTGCCACATCTGTACGATCAATGATGTTATTCTTAACCAGCGGCTGCTGCACGCTCGAGTAATTACCTCCTCCATTATCTGACCGCATCTTTCATTATACTGTAAGCAGCCCTCATTACGGACACAAGCTGAGAGGCATGAGGGGACAGAGAGTGCACATATAAAAACACACCACAGACTCATAAGCATGCATAAACATGCCCTGCATAGTTTATATTCAAAGACAAACACGCAGACAGGCTAGTCACCTCCCTGCACTCCCCGTCTTCACTTCCTCGCCTCTCTTCCTCTCTTTGCCCAGTCAATCAGATAGCCATTAGCCGGTATTGGTCCCAGGGGCTAGTCCCTCACATACTGCACATCTGTGGGAGTATTTTCATTCAGCGGGATGGCTCACCTCCTTGCCTCTCTGTGATAGCTGTGCAGCCCAGGGGAAATAAAGACAGTCGCAGCCAAATCAAATCCATGGCACAGTGGGGGAGACGATGGCACGGATCAGCATGTTGCTGGCCTGTTTAGGCTCCTTCTGTTACGCTCCTGAAGCCAGACTGGGGTTAGTTTAATGATTTACAATTGTTGAGACTGCCAGGGCTGCAGGCTTGATTTCCACTGTGGGCAACTGCCAGAGAGGGTGCTGGAAGATACTTAAAAACTCATCTTACATAATACATACTCATGCCTTATACACCTTAAGAGCACTTAGACGCTGAAAAACACGCACGCAATGTCACTGTCTTCTTTTACACCACAATGAAGCCCCTTTTGCGCAATCGTACCCTTGTTAGTCCTTTCAGCAATGGCAACAGTCACGGCGCATTAACGTGAGGCGCAGAGATAAAGGCCAGTATGTGACAGCAGCTGGTAGGTCACTGAATTCAATGACCTTTGCAGATTAGACTGATAAAGCTTTTTCCCCCCTTGTGTCACAGTTCTGGACCAGTACAGTAGCTGCTTCTGTTCAAAGATTTTGACAATAATTACAAGACTGTGTGAAAAACAGACATCAAAATATGAGCCTGTGAATACTAAGCTGTTCTCGGTTTTGATCTCTGCATAATCAAGCATTTCCACCCGTATTTGCCTTCATGTCACCCTCCCTCTTTAGCTTGTTAAGGTTGACACGCTCTGACCTGTGAGAAAGAAATCACTGTTGTGTTCTTCATCACTAGCTGTCTCTCTCGCTCAGCCCTCAGCCTCCTGTTATACGACTGGCTATCAGTCCGATGGCAGTTAGCTAATGGTGTCAGCGGACTTCAATTAGCTCTCCGCCACGCTCGATCACACCGTCCTCTCTGCCGGAGAGGGGCTTTAAATTGTCTGAAATACCAGAACCATTAAGTGTGAATGGTTAATGGGAGTTTAAACAGAGAGACAGAAAGGAGCAGGCAGATAGAAGTGAGGTAGCATGTGAGTGGGCCGCTTCAGGCTTTGGTTTCCTCTGGTCCAGTCTGCTAAACTGGCTGAAGGTGATAAAGAGGTGGGGGACTGTTTTTAGTGGCGAATTACTCAACAACCCAAAACCATGATTCATCAGGGAGGGAAACACTTTTTATATTTATTCATGTTGTTTCACACTCAGAGTTCATTGGTCAACAGAGAGATAAAAGATGCAGAATAAAAAAGGCTCCTCCGAAAGATATAGGGCTGTACCTAACGATGAATTTTTTATCGATTAATCTAACGATTATTTTTTCAATTAGTCAACTAATTTATCGATTATTATTTTTTTATGAACTGATTAATATAACAGTGAATTTAACCAAAGTGAAAATAAACAAAACTTGTCCTTTTAGTATTTAATTCAATTATTTATCCAAGATTCTCTTGAAATCAAACAGAACAAAAAACAGTACATTTTTATCAATGCTTTTTTACATTCACATAGTACTTAACGTTGCTTTTTAGCTTATCTAAAGTCAACTGTAAGTAACACTCAGCCAAAAGCTTGCACTTCGCAGCCGCAGTCAGCATAATGCTGGCAACATTGTTTGTTTACATTGCTGAGGAAGACACAGCGCTAGATAACAGTTTCCCCTATATGCTATTGATCGTGGTACACCGCCACACTTTTAAAAATTCATTTTTTTCTTACATGGCTCTACCTTGGACTCATGTGTATTAGTATACATAAGTGCAGCGGAGCTCACGTATGCCAAGTATTAGCATTAGCGCGCGATCGTTGGTGATCACACCGTTAATTAATTAGCGAGTTATCGGACAAATAAAAAACACAAAACTGATGCTTTAACTCTGAGCTAACTGCTGAAAGTAAATGAATTAGATATGGGATGCAGGGCGTATGATGCAGCGTTCACTGTGGCGTTTACTGCACCAGCGGTGGGTCATTTGATTGACAGGTCACTGCATGTCTCCTTGAATGAAAGCAGCGTGATCTTGGAAATGTGAAGGACAGTGTTTAGTAAACGTGGTTGTGAAAGTTAGATCCCTTTCCGGCTGATCCAAGACCCGCTGTGTCAGGTCTTGCTCACCTTGTCTGGTTTTTAATTCGCATTACAACCCTTTCATCCCCAACATGGTCAGTACCCAGTTGTTCAAAAGGTTTACTTTGCTCAAGAGTTACCTGGATCTGAAGCTCCACTTTTATGCTATCCTGGATCAGTTAACAAAGCTTTCTTTAATCCCACTTTTACAGAGAAAAACTAGTGAAGATCAAATTTATCCGGATTTGAGGATTACCACATAAGAAGGGATTTGGGATTGCATACTAGAAACTTTCCCCAAGAGGGATCTGAAAGTTTCTTTTTCATTAAAACTTAACTCATAATTATCATTATCATTATTAACTGCGATATTTTAAATAATCTAGAGTGAAAAATTCTGTACTTCATCCTCTCTTTCCTTGTAGAGATTCATGTTAAAAAAAGAGACTAAAAGTTTTAACATCTTCATTATTTACTTACTGTTTGTAAGAAAAGGAAAAGTCTTCATTATATGTTGTCAATTTTTCATTTCTGGATTCTGGTGTTTTGGCTCGGCTTTGTTTGAATTAAAAGCACTATTGATCGGTGTGCCTGAAATAGTTTCTGAGCAGAATAAGTTCTCCTATTTCAGTCTTTTTTCTTTGTGCTAACATATCAACACCATTTTAGACTCTGCCTGGGATTGGCAAGAAAAGGAAAAAAATAACTTCTAGCCACTGCAGGTAAGGGGATAACTGCTCGCCTGGAGACAAGCATTAGCTTTATAGGGCAGCAGGTGGTATTTTCCACTCTGCAGAATTTTCACACAAAAAGGAAAAGCCTATTGTGTAGGAAGGCTACAGCATGTGGATATTGAGTATTTTTGTACCAGAATAAAGAGCCGAGTGGGAAACTTTGCGTGCTGACACCCCCTCTGGGTACAGACAAAGTGAGCTTTCCTCTCCCTAAGTGTGCGAGTCTTTGAATTTAGAATAAAAAGAGTTTTCTTTTCATCTCATCAAACAACCCAGAGGCACAAAACATCTACCCACATGTGTTCAAGTACAATCTTTCTTTGCCAGGAGAGATTTTTAGGCCCGAAGCCTCCAGTGACAGTGTGCCAGATCAGCTATTGGCATATTTAGGTTGTCTAGACACAGCAGGTGTTTGAAAATAGAATCCATTTGTATCTGTCTCTCAGCTCCTCAAATGTCCCAGCTTAAAAGCCAGCGATAAAAATACTTAAAGGTACTGAAATACCTCTTTAAATTTGAGTTTTTCTAGTAAAATATATCTGCTGAACCAGAACTAAAATTATGTTCATGCTTTCTTGTTTTTAAAAAGTCATACATCTGATTTCTAGTCTATATCAGCGATGTGATCGACATATTTGATATTCAAATTCAAGATTGTCCTCAAGGACTGGAGGACACTGACTGCATAATGGTAAACTATGGAGATCATGTTTTGATATTCAATAAAGTCACACCTCCATTCATCTCAGAGGGAAAAAAAAAACAAAAGCTCTTTCAACTTGTCAGCGTCACTCGGTGATGGGTGGCCCCTGAGTGATCGATCACTGCTGACATGAGTCCTCCTACAGGAACAAGGCGTCAGAGCTGCACACTGCATCAGGGGACTGCATTATTCCACACGTATGATGTGCTGTATTGATTACTGTCAAACCTTTTTGAATATTTATGAGAACCGTGGATGATAAAATTTCAAAGAAAGAACCAAAGACAGATGAAAACTGTTTAACTGTTATGGACATACTACGCCAACTGTGTGTGTGTGACCACTTTAAGAATAAACTTAGTAACTAACAGGTGAAAAGCTTCTATTGATCGACTAACGACACAGACCACTGACAACTTTATAGAGTTGTTATACTTAAGAATCAGAGCCAATAAGATTGATATTGTGTCAAATTTAGCAGTAAACGTCTCTGCCACGCTAAGATGCTATACTCATCTCTCTAATGTGGAATATGTAATCATTGCCTGACAACCATAACCAGTATGCTTGGATCTTAAGGACAGCTGCCAATAAATTAAATGTCAAAAATGTCAAAGCAGTCTGCTCATCTGCTCTAATGACAACTGCCTAACTAAAACTGTACTAGTGAACGAGTGTGTCCATGACTACGACACTAAATATGAAGTTCACCTCAAACCACCTGTCCTATGAGAATATAAGATGAGAACCTATGAGAATTTACCCTTAATATTCAGATCAGTCTTGACATATCATCTTCATACTTTTCCATGTACAGAAAACACAAACGATCTGCGTTGTAATCAATGTATTTTATACACTTTATTATTGGTATTTCATTTCAAATTTACTTTGGTCCCCCCGAGAATGATTTCACATTTAAAATAACTGTATCCATAGTATTTTATAAAACATCTACTTAATAATAATAATAATAATAATTGTAATGCATTAGATTTTGTACAACCCTTTATAAGCGACCCTCAAAGTGCTTTACATTGGATACATCACTCATTCGCTCACACAGTCACACCCTGGTGGTGGTAAACTACCTTCATAGTCACAGCTGCCTACGGCCTCTCCGACCACCACCACACATCACTCACAATCATACACCAGTGGTGGAAAAACACTGGGAGCAAGGTGGATTAAGCATCTTGCACAAGGAGACAAGGACAGACTAGGGGATAGGGGGGAATTGAACCGCTAACCTTCCAGTTATTGGACGGCTGCTCTACCTTTTAAGCTACTGTATAAAACAGCAATAAAGAAATGTCACCAGACGGTTTCTATGTAAACTGTCTTTCAGTTGCTGATCCATCAAGCACTGGAAAGGCAGTGATTTCTCAGAAACATCCCATTCTTGAAACTTCTAACTACGTATAAAACAGTTTGACTTTGCTCTTAAAACTGAGCGTAATCAGGCAAATGGCCACGATAGAAACATGGGAAACTGTGTTTATCACAGCAGATAAGAACACCTCAAGTTGTACTGTTTACACTTTACTATACAACACTGTGGCACTGACACACATGCAACCCTCACACACTGATAAATCCTGTCCAAGGTGAATCCATCCGCTCCTCTGTTTTTATGAAAGGGAAATGAAGGCTGTGAATCCGTCACTTCAAGGTTTGACTTATCGGCTCTGGTTTCCCTCCATCTATCAGTTCTTCCTCTATATCTCTCCTTTGACTCCTCTTTAGCATATTCCAATGCCTGCTCCATTGCCATAACTGATATCCCATTCTTCCATCTCTCACTGGGCTTTTTACAGGCTGATACTCATGACCGGTAGTATTTGCCTTTTGATGGTCTTATAGTGAACTTTCTGCAGTAGTTAAATGCCTGCTGACTCAGCACTCATCTTATTGCAGTACTAATGCTAGCTGTGCAGCCACTGCGGCGTCTACATCTTCATCGCAACAATGAGATTACTTTTTAGGCATCTTAAAATGCTTATGTTAAAATATAAGGGCCTTTCCCCTCCAGTTAAATACTTGAGCCACATGGTATGTAAGTTGCAACTGTGTTATTCTCATCTGCAGTGACACAAATTTTTTACTCTACTGTCAGCTCGTTGCTCTCCATCTCTGTTTATATTGCCTACTGTGAACTGTTTAGGTTTGTTAAAGACCCATTCTGATGAAAATCATGTTTTTCTTGTTGTCTACATGTTCATATGGCATTTTTCTGATGCTACAGGACATATCATGAGGAAAAATAAGTATGAAATTGCATTTCTGCGTATTCCTTCATTCAAATCGCTGTGAACCTCTGGCAGACCCAAACGGCAGGTTCAGACAGAGTGAGATTTCCTACATAGCAAATCCAAGCTCCGTCCCCCGGAGCTCTGTCTCCGCCCACAACTCAGAGGAGAATTGCTAATGAGCTACTGGAGCTCTGCAGAAGAAAGGCCCTTAAAAATGACACAAGTAACGTGATTATGGCTAAAAACTTAATAATCACCACTTAAAGAACACTGAGAACACTTTAGGTATAAAAAAAAAGATCGGGGTGGGACCTTAAGTGGATATAAGCATTGACTGTATATTCTATGGACAACTTGGCTCCGCCTTCCGCCAGTATATGGATTTGAAGCCAAAAATTTCTGTGTAATTCAGCGTTTTCTCTCCATTTCCTGGAACCAACATTGCACAGTAGCATTGTTTGCATTCCGCGGGAGAGTCGCCAAGAGTTGCTGTGATGACGCTCGGCTCAAACAGCGTATCCCCCGGGTGAGCTACGCACACCTTGTACGCCCATAGGCTGTATCAGGTGTCAATCATAGAAAACATGACCCCCTAATAACTTCAAAAATGGAGCTGTACAGAAAAAAGAGGACTTGAGCACAAACTAGTCGTACAGTAACTACATGTCAACATCACAAGCAGGGGGGAGAAAAATGTATGTTCTTTGTAATAAATTTCTGAAGTTTGTCCACAGCCCCACAAGCTTTGCTGGCGGAGGCGGGATTTATGACCTATACTGCAGCCTGTCACCAGAGGACTAAGCAAATACCTCCAGTTGTTTATATCGGGTACTCTTTCATATTAAACTGAGTGTTTCTGCTACATGATCAGGAATAAGTTAGTAAAAGATAATTAAAATGAAAAATGATCCATAAATATTTCTCTATTTTTGAATCATAGTCATGATCATGCATCCCTAATCTTTACCATGGCCCTGTTTGCAGTTGTATTGTCAATGTAATGCTTACCCTTGCACAGACCAGTTTTCACGTCTTCATTCTCACAGCCCCTGGTGTCTCAGTAAGCTCCTTCCTAGCCTTTGACTTACAGCGTTATAAATAGATGGATGTTTCGTTAAAAAGAAGCAGCTTTGGCTTCACTTCACAGCTCTCCTACTTTCTGTTCACCCCCCTCTTCCTCTCTCTGGGCTCATCATCAGAAATACACCTAAATCCTGCCAAATGACTGTTCCCCACTGCCTTCAGAGACAGAACTTGATATGATTCTGATTGCCATGTTTTATCACAACGGACGCTTTAAGGTAATGACTACATCCATCTCCAGCTGAGCCAGTTAAAAGTCAGAATTACTGAGACACCCTCTTTGGATGTTTAATGATACACTGTGTCTTGGCTTTGGTGAGATATGAATCTGAGCTTGAAGCTACAGATGAACAAGGCTCAGCTGCTGATTGAGTTTGAGTCTTTGCTCCCCTGCTGTTCACAAGCCTGTGATCAGAAGTCTTGCGGCTCGTTGTAGGAGGCTGTATCCATGACCGACCACTGTGCCAGCTTGGCATGGGTTAAGATATTATCTGCAGGTGGCCAGGAACACAATTTTCTTTATTCATTTTTCTCTCCTTTTGATTTTATAACATGCACAGTATATCTGACACCCACTCAGGAATGTGCTATAACACCATCAATTTACTTCAACAACGCTTCTCGCCTACACTTTTCTAATGATCTTGGCTTAGCTTGGAATCAAACTGCTTAAGTGGTGTTGACAGGTTGGTACACACACTCTGGTGTGCATCTGAGACCCAAGCATTAACTGAAAGTAAAACAAGCTTTCACTAAAAAGGAAATACAAAGGAAATACCTCTATTCTACCTTTTACCAGACAAGACTATTACCAAACTGTAAAAGAGCTGTACTGGTCTTTTTTTGCATTTGGTATAAAATCGTTGGATGCATCCTTACAGGAACACTTACAGAACAAGACAGGGTGTGAACAGGTTTCTAGGTTAACACCATAGATTGTATATAGAATGGACGCCATCTGCCTCCTCAGTGGGTGAAGCCACTCTGAGAACAGCACACCCTGGTGACGGGCTGCAGTATAGGTCATAAATCCCGCTTCTGCCAGCCGTCCTTGGCTGTGGACAAACTTTAGAAATTCATGACACAGAATGTAAATTATTCTCCCCCCTGCTTGCGATGTTGACATGTAGTTATTGTCAGACTGGTTTGTGCTCAAGTCCTCTTTTTTCTATACAGCTCCATTTTTAAAAGGGGTTTCATGTTTTCTATGATTGACACCTGATACAGCCTATTGGCATACGAAGACTGGGTAGCTCACCCGGGGGATACGCTGTTTCAGCCGAGCGTCATCACAGCGACTTTCGGCGACTCTCCCGCCCAATTCATACAAGGCTACTGCGCAATGTTGGTCTTTGATGATCAGTGAAAGTCCGGACGCTGTACCTCAAATGCAACAAACAAAAATTTATTGTGATGTACATTACTGAAATTCATTATGCAATTGACATTGAGCGTCACTAAATAAACAAAGAAAAAAGCTGGTATTTAGCGCCCTTCAAAAACCCTCTGCCCTTCCGGGTCAATCACCTGCCCACAACAGTGACATAGCTACCTTTATTCCCGAGCCCCAGGACAGCGACGCCTAAGGCATACAAAGTGAACTGCAACTCATTTTAGATTATCACATCGACTTCCTTGCTAACCACTGAAGCTGCTCAAAACTTTCTTAAAACACCCGGCTACATGATTTACAGAAAAAAAAAGAGACTATAAACCACTATTCCTATGATAACGGCCAATAAGACATGTCTGCTTTATATTTTGATATGTTAATCAGAGCAGTAACTCCTGCTGGACCGTCACTTAGCCTTTTAGTTTCCCCAGCCCCAGAGGTCTGGCGCTGGAGTCTTGTCTATTAAAGCCAACATGAAGTCTTCTGTTGTTGTTGTTGAGAGGAGAGCCACTGTGGCAGACTGTGGGTGTCAGCATCAATCACAGTTCATACTGATAAATATTGGCATTGATGCAGCTAGAATAGGATAAATGATGCCAGCAGAGGCGTGAAATGAACTACAAGCATCGATCTGCTCAGTCTCTATCAGTGTGGCATGCAGGGTCATAGTCTGTGTTGCTTTTTTTTCAAATGCTTTTATTTGTTTATTTAATTTTACCAGCTTCTTTCTGTCTTTGTTTGTTTGGCTTCAGTCGTTTTGTTCTTTAAGCTATAAGGTAGTGTAGCTGACAGAATGGCACAAATGGTCTGCATTTAAATATTGTACGCATGTAGGCTGATGCTAGCATGACAGCTATTAATACGGACTGACCAGGCTCCAAATGAACATCTCAACCCTTTTATCCCATTTTATGCCTTAAAAGTAGGGCTGGGCGATAAACTGAAAATTTACAGATACAGAAATTTACGACAATAACCGACGTCATTTTGCCCATGTCAATATAGTCTATATATAATATATTCTGTGTCAAAAAAAAAAAAAAATAAATGTTGGTTTTAGATGTGTGTAGTTAGGCTATGGTCTCATGTCCCTTTAAGACACTGTCCTACGTCAGAGATGTGACTCCACCCCATCCAGTCCATAACAAAGAGGGAAAGACAGGTGAGGAGATGGAGGACTGTATCCAATTTAAAATTGATGCTAGCAATATTCGTCTTTTTGTGCTTTTTGAATTTCAAAACAAATCTCAAAGACATGTCATTGCAGGTGCTGCTCCAACATCAAATTAATAATACCAAATACACCATGGTGTTTGGAATTTTTTGGCACATTATTGTCAGAAACTTTCTCAATCCAGGTACCAACTCATGGTCTTACTGAGTGCAGTAAAGCCAAGTTAGCAGGATGTATTTTCCTCACTCCGCGCTTGAGCTCATGTCATTTATATTTTTACGAAGTTTTACGTGGAGACAGCGATAATTTTATCATGTGTGTACAATCTAAATCTGGCATAATCAGACTTTAAGAAACATGGCCTGGCATCCTTCCACCTGAACTCATTTTCTTTCTCACAGCATTACAAAAAGATCTCAGCTCTATGAACACATCCATCTAGATTTATGAGTGTGGTTTCTGCTGGCAAAGAGTGAAATTGGACACATTTATACAGTGTTGTTTAAACAACAGAGTGAGAAACAATGCCTCTATATTCAAACATCTCTCTCCCTCACACAGACACACACACACACACACACACACACACACACTAGCACTCTCTGTTCTTCTTGTTTTAGTGAAGAATTGCTGTTGATGCTGCTTATGGGCGCCCTGAACCGCCGTGTGTGATGACGCCAGCAGCTACGACCTCCCCGCCGGTGATTCATGGCTTTAATCACTCCAGCTTTCTAACCTCTTACCAAGCATGGCAGGGTTTGACACATCACTGCCTTCTCAGACCACTCACACCATTTGTCCTACTTAGGACACCATCTCAACCAGTTGGACATTGGTGTACAGTATTTGGAGCATTCATACAGCGCACAAAGGTTGAGTAAAATTGGTGTTTGGTCCTAACTCAGTGATACCAAATGCTGGTGGTTTTCTTTGACAATTTTCATATGATTAATCCCATCTGACCTCTTCTCAGGGACATTACTAATGATCTTTAAAAGTATCATCCAGTGTCTTTTATTCTCTTTTATCTAAAAACATAATTACCTGCCTCATCATCAGATTTTCGCTTCTTTTTCCTCTCGCTCTTCCTCGACCTCACTCTGTTTAATCCAGCGTGGTCACAACATCATTTCCAGAGTGCAACAGCAACCTTTATAAACCTCTATTGATTTTTTTTCCCCTGGTCTGTCTTTTTATTGCCTCATAAGGTGGAAAGTGGATCAATCACTCCTCTTTTCTCCGTTTGCCACCCAAAGGCAGAGACCTCAGCGGCTCTTTAGACACCTTAGTGGATGGAGAAGTGCAATCATTCGTCAAATATGTTGCTGAGGGGTACGTTTCAGGGACATGTCTGCACTTGTTTAAGTGGGTTGGCCCGACTGTGGTACTGACTTTTAAGGACTGGCATCAAGTATGTATGCATTAACAATAGAGTGTATATACTATGGACAACTTGGCTCCGCCTTCCACCATTATACAAATCTAATGCTGAATTGCTCTTGGTTTTTCTGGAAGGTTCTTCATTTCCTGGAACTGCCACTTGCGCAGTAGCATTGTGCGCATTCAGCGGGAGAGTCGCCAAGAGTCGCTGTGATGACGCTCGGCTCAAACAGCGTATCCCCCCGAGTGAGCCACGCAATCTTCGTACGCCCATATGCTGTATCAAGTGTCAATCATAGAAAACATGAACCTCCTAATAGTGTAAAAATGGAACTGTACAGAAAAAAGAGGACTTGAGCACAAATCAGTCTTACGATAACAACATTTCAACATCGTAACCACGGTGGAGAAAAACTTACATTCTGTGTAATATTATTCTAAAGTTTGTTCACAGCTCCATAGGGATTGCTGGAGGAGGCGGGATTTATGACCTATACTGCAGCCCGTCACCAGAGGGTGCTGTTCTCACGGTGGCTTTACCCAGCTAGAGGCATCCATTCTATATACAGTCTATGGCATAAACCCATGCTCAAATACCAGGTACTCACTCTTTCACATAATTTCTAATATTAAGGGATTAATATTTCTTTAAAATGTCAATTTTCTTCCATTTATTTGGGGTTTGGTCCTCCGGGCAGTGAGTAAGTACACCAGTATTTATAAGTGGTGTTCCTCGTCTCATCAGAGGTCAAGGTAAAGACCTTATTCCTGTATTCCAGTGAAGTGCCTCCCTGCAAATATCTGTGATTATGTGGATGATTGCTGGTATTGAGTCGATTGGTGCAGGAATGTTTTGTAAATCACTCTTCCTTGTCCAGAGTGGAGGTGTGTTGAGCTTGCTGATAAGTGTGAGCTCCAAGAAGGACAGGACTTAGCAGTGATACCCAACCTTTTAACCTTCCTTGGACTTTAAGCTCCTTCTTTTGAAGTCTGGTCTTTTTAGCATTACCCTGTTATTAAATATTTATAAGCAAACTGTTGTCTTTTCCCATCTTACCACACAAGTTGGTCAACTGTGTGTGTTACACAACTCTTTAGGCGGATCCTGAGGCGTT